GTGTGTGTGTGTGTGTGTGTGTGTGTGTGTGTGTGTTTAAAAAATGTCAGGGTCTGGAGGTGAATGAATTCAGGAGCAGATAGGCACAAAGTGCTCAAAAATAATAATTAAAAAAGGTATTTAACAAAAACAAAAAGCTGACATGGCAGCAAAACTTACACAAAACGCAGGGAGACACAGAGAACAAATAGGACCGAGACTGATGAGCAGAGCCATGCAGTGAACCAGCAGAGAAGTGGTGACAAAAACTGGTTTAAATACAAACTGAGGGAGAAGGAAGATGAGCAACAGACTGAGATGATCTGACTGAGGAAACCACAAGATAAGAAAAGATAAGATAAAACCTTTTTGATCCGAAAGTGGGGAAATTTGCACATTACTGCAGCTCAATACAGGAGAGGGTGAGATAGAATAAAGAAAGATAAATAAAAGAAAAACAAAAAAACACTATAAATGAGATTTTTGTTATCTCATAAAAGATTTTTTTCTTCTATTAAGTTGTACAGATTATAGCTCACATTACATTCCATGAATAATGTCCAAGAACACAAGAGGGAGACAGAGCACAAGAAACAAAGGATCCAAGATAACCAAAAATAACAAAGAACCATGGAAGATAACTCAAACTGTCCAGACCCTTACAAATGTATGCAAGTTGAAATTAATTATTTTTGTTTATTTTATTTAAGAGGGAGCATATCACACCTATTCTGGCTTCCATCCACTGCATTTTAGAGTTCGTTTTAAGGTTCTTTTATTTGTTTTTAAATCTTTGCATGGCCTTGCCCCATCTGACCTCTCCAAGCTTCTCCACCCCTATGCCCCTGCACGGTATCTCCGGTCAGTCGATCAGTTGCTCCTTAAAATACCCAGGACAAAGTGAACCCTCAGAGGGGATCGAGCATTTTCAGTTGCTGCTCCGAAGCTCTGGAATGAGCTACCCCTACACGTCAGGCAGGCCTCCACATTGCCTGTTTTTAAAACTAATCTTAAAACTTATTTTATTCACTGGCTTTTAACAAAGTTTGAGATCTTGGTCTGTTTTAGCTGTTTTTTGCTTGTTTTTAGTGTTTGAGTGTTTTTACTGTTGATCTGTTTTATTGTTTTCGGCCTATCATGTACAGCATTTTGTGTCAGTGGCCGCTGTTTTAAAGTGCTTTATAAATAAAGATGATTTTATTTTGATTTGATTTATTTAATTTAAAATGCTGCGATAGTTTACACACCCTTGTTAAATTCCAGGTTTATGTGAAGTAAAAAAACAAGGCCAAGGTAAAGAATTTTTAGAATTTTTAATACCTGTAATGTGAGCTATAATCTGTACAACTCAATTAAAAAAAATCTTTTACGTGATAAAAATCGCAATCTTATAATACCACCACTGGGGATATGTGTGTTCAGAATTAACTAATCAGATTCAATATCATGTTAAATCGGAGTCAGTACATACCTGCCATCATTTAAAGTGCCACTGATTAACCCCAAAGAAAGTTCAGCTGCTCTTGTAGGCTTTTCTTGACATTTTCTTATAGTACTTACAGCCATGGTCCATAGAGAGCTTCCAAAGCATCGGAGATCTCATTGTTAAAATATGGCCTATGTTTGATTTGATCCAGTCAGAGGGGCTGTAGGTCTACGAGGAAGGAGGAAGGAGAACCACCTTGTTCCAAAATACATGTGTTTTTAAACTCTTTGGGCCTCATGCAAGAATTGTTCATACGAACAGACTTGTTCTTACGTTGTGCATATGAGTGATTTAAGAGAAATGTCAGCAGTGCAGATAACAGGGCAGAGTAAAACAGGACAGGGAAAAGTGGAGAACTTATTTCTAGCGGCAGAACCGTTGGAGAACTGGTTGGAAGGTGGTTATTGAATTTAATTTATTGATATTTTTGTCATCTGTGGGTCGTATAGTCACTAACAGAAGCAACCCACAGGAAACACAGCATTAACAGCAGTCATCATTTCATTCCTCGGCTTTAGCAGGTCCTTTAATTTCACAGCTGACGCTGCTAAAATTGACAGATTTTCTTTTGTGGATCTCTGAGAGCAGGACTTTAATGTCCAAACTCGTGAAGTTCTTTTTACTTTTCGCTGTCATTTTCATGAATGGACACTAGTGGGGCAGGAAGCGCAGCCTTATGGTATCATTGGGGTGGTAATTATGCTAATTTCCTCTTCTCCTGCACGAGCACCTGAATATGTGGCATTCAACAGGTTACACTGCTCACTTTTCCTGAAGATAGAAGAGTTTGTTGAATCTGACGTGTTCGTATGAACCCTTCATACAAACAAAAGTAATAAAAATTTAGGATAAAAACAGGAAAATGCTGTTTTTGGGCATGAGGCCCATTGTATAATGTTTAAGTTCTTACTCAGTAAGTACTCAGTATCGGTGTGTACCCAAACTGAAGTACTTGTACTTGTGCTCAGTTTGAGAAAAACTGGTATTAAGACTCAACTACCAAGATATTTCAGATTAGATGAAAATCATAAACAAGCGTTTTTATGAGCAATTAGGAGTTCTAAATATATATTATTTAAAATTAACAATAAAACTTATCTACTAGTCCCACTGCATAAGGACAACTTGTCTAGAACTAATGTCCTCATCGTCAGGATGCAGGGTTTCAGGAGAAGTCAAGTTTCAGTAAGTTGAGTGGGAATAATCAGTGTAACTCTTGCTGGATTTGTCAAATGACTTAAACGAGAACGTAAAACTCCGGAAATTCTGTTTTCGGCTTTTAGTTTTTGGTGCCACCGCATGATTTTCAGTGGCCCTCAAATAACATATCTGAGGGTTGGATTGTAGATCAGGGTTTCAGAGTAAAGGGAATACAGGTGGAGTCATAATTTTCAGATTTACTTTAGATATTTTGAAGTTTGTGGTTGGAACGTGACAAAATGTGGAAAAGTTCAGGTGGTATGATAACTGTTGTGGAAATATTCCACCAGGCAGAGATACGGGAAATAAACAAAGTGAAACTGTGTGGTCTCGGTCTCAGATCATTTAATAGAAAGATGCATATGCAAGGAATGAGCAGAACTGAGCAGACGTGATCAAAGCGTCTGCCAAGCTCACGCTGACCCGGAAACAGGAAACAGACAATACAGTATATAAACATCCTGCTAACAGAATAAGAGCGTCGGAGATATTCATGAACCAATGATACAGTTAACAAGTAAAATAGGCCATGAGATGAGGACAAGGTTGCAGACATACAGCATGTTAGGAGAACAGATTACTACACTGTTAACACTGTTACACTGGACTTGCTGCATAGAGAATCGTTTCTTGCAGGAGGCGTGGCCTCTGCTGAAGCATGTGTGTGTTGTCGGTGTGAAGGAGGCTAAGCTAAGAAGCTAACCGGAAATCTCGTGTGCTGTAAACAACCCTACTGAGAGGAGAAAAGTACCGAGCCGAATGAGACGACTTTAAATGAGAGCTGCTGGTTTGTCAGACAAATTTATTTTAATTTGGAAGCCTTATCAACACAGACTGGCTTCATTCTCTTCCTCCACTGCCGTATGCTAAAATAACAAGCAGACACTGTGCAGAACATCGACGTCATTCAAAAACTCCTCCTTCTGTTTGCTGATTGGACCAGGTAAAATAAACTACAAGCAGACACTGCGCAGAAAATTGACGTTCTGTTCTCTGATTGGCCCAGGTAAAATAAACTACAAGCAGACACTGCGCAGAAAATTGACGTTCTGTTCTCTGATTGGCCCGGCTAAAAGTCTGCCAGCGAAATCCTTCTCTATGGGAGAAATCCCAGACGGAGCAGTGAAGGGAAACTAGAATTGAGCGGAGCTGCTTTTTAAGGCAAGGGCCAGGCTGTTACACTGTGGTAGTTATCAGAGATACAGAACAGGACATGTCAAGGTAACTTAGCAGTCAGGGATGTTATATACATAACATTCTTCCACCACAATAACTTTAAAAGCACTGTAGAATGTAAACCTTACACTTTCTTCCTTTTCAGCCAGTTATGGAGATGGTAAAGGATATCCTGTCTATTGCCTATGAGATCTACTCACTAGTTGAGAATGTGAAGGCCAATAAGAAGCGCTGCCATCGGGTTTCTGAGCGGGTCAAAGCCCTAGAGGGGCTGGTGACATCCATCTCACAAAGAGAAGCAGTCCAGCCCTGTGGTGAGGTAGAGAAAGCCCTGACAGGACTTTCCATCACGCTCAAATCAGCTCAGAAGCTCATTAAGAAATACATAGCAGCAAACTTGGTGAAGCGTATCCTGAAGTCTGGCAGTCATGGAGACGAGTTCAACAGCGTGAACGACCGCCTGAACGACGCCTTTCAGAGTATGGCGTTAGCTCTACAGTTAGAGAACGGGAACGCAGTGTTTAAGGTGTTTGAGCAGAACTCCAGACTGAAAGAAGATGAGGTGGACAGGAAGGAGGATGACGCTGACCTGAAGAGAAGTGAGTTTAACTGATTATAGTTCTGCCTCGGTGCTGGATGTCACTTGTTTAAATGGGACTTTATATTAATTTACCAAAATATCTAAATATTTATTGTGGAAAGTTCATCATCTTCCTTTATTTTATTTAATTGTTTAAAGCAAGGGATAAATATTCCTTTTATCTCTTTTGTTTGCTTTATAATGATGTTTTGTCTGTTTTGTTTTGTTCTTCAGTGCTTTTAGAATATGCAGAATATGTGGAGGCAATGCAACGAGATCTTGAAGCTATCAAAACCAGTGTAAATAAAATTGTGGAAATGTGTAAGTATGCAACAATTTATATCTAGAAATTATGTTTTTGTGCTTTTTAAAATTCTTTATGAAGTACAAGGAAACACGGGTACACAAAGTTTGTTGTGATAGCAAACCCATTCTCTGTCCTGATGACATATTTGCACCCTTTTTATACAGTCATAAATTAAAATTCAAAAGCAAGAATTATAAGGCCAATACCAGATCTTTACACTGGCCTCAGTTCGGTTAAAGTTACTAACAGGGCAAACAGAAAAAGACTAAACTAATATGACTTGTTTGGAAGAAGGTCCAGCTGAAAGACTCTTCTCTGAAAACCACGTGGCACTACTTAGGGTCTTGTTATTCTTAAACAAGATGTAAGCCTTCAGATCTTGCTGTCATGTTTTAAAATGGTCTTTTTCTCCTGGATGATTCAATCAATGAGAAATCTCAGGTGAGAAGTCCTGGCAAAGTCCTCCCACTACAACACATTGTCATCAGAATCAACGCAGAGGCAGCACGTTTGGCAAAGTGGATGTTTATTTTCAGTTGATGATGAAAGAGGTAGTGGAGGGAAGATCTGGTGTTTCTCCTATGTGGAGCTGCCTAAATGCTTGCTGGCACAAAGAACCACCTATTTACCCAAAGCTCCTCTCTGGAACCCAGTCCCAAGCAGAGCACCCTCACACAGCTCTACCAGACTAGCAAAACACACCTTGAAAATGTGTCCATGATTTCATTGCAAAACATAGGATATAACATAAGGATCAATATTTATAGTTTCTTTGAAAAAAGTAGCTTTACATTGATGTGCATGTATGAGAGAATGACTGGGAGATATTCTATATTACCAAGCTGAAACGTCTTGTAAGAACCTCTGTACTCACTCTGGTTCTTCAGAAAATGTACTTACCAGGTCTGATGTGGGATCATTCGAGTGAGTAAAAAACACCTTGGCCACCTCTGTGCCACTCCTTACAAAAAAAAAAAAAAAAAAAAAGGCTAGCTCTCCCATTGCACATACCCTGGAGAGAACTAGTTCTGACTGGGACAATGAACAAGACTGGGTGGGGTATGGTAAAAATAGAAAACTACCCAATGAGACATGTGAATGGGCATTCTTATGGAGTTTAAATCAGGCTTTAGGTTTGTAAACTTTTATCTGAATGTACCATAAGACTTCTGGAACAAAATGAGACCAAAGTAGAGATGTTTGCACGTCAGCAAACACTGCATTTCAGCACTATCACTTCATACTAACTGTGAGCACGGTGGTAGACTGGAATGTAGATGGACCAGTAAATCCATAGCACTGTCCTTCAACTCAGCACTTACTTCATTACGACTGACCAAAGCAACGCCCTCATTACTGAGGATGAGGTCCCACTCTGTTGATCCATCTCCCACTCCATCACTCATGAACAATCTACATGGTTAATTAAAGTTTTATAAAACAAAGCATCCAGATACTAAAATTTAACTTCTTGGGGCTTTTATTTAGGCTTTTCTAAATGTTCTGAACACACCTGTATGTTCCACAGGAATGATGTCCCTTTCTCAACTCTCAGCAGTTAGACAAAGAATACTGAAAAATCCAGAGACTGATTTCAGTAAAAATGGAAACATTTAACAAGCTTCTGTTTGAATATCCTGAATTAATGTACAGTGGAGTCGGAGCTATGGTGGTTATCGCAGGTGGAACGTTGATATACAAGATTGCTACCAGGTCGATAATGTTTAGGTTCTGACCGAACACTTTGATTTAAAATTTCAGCTAAATTGACATGTGATAAGGTCTTGACCGAAAGAAAGAGATCTTGGATACAAGCGTCCAGAATGAGTTTTCTTTGCAGGGTGGCTGGGTTCAGGCTTTTTGCAATATCATCCAGAGCTCGGAGTAGAGCCGCTGCTCCTCCTCATCGAATGGAGTCAGTTGAGGTGGTTCATCTTATTAGGATGCCTCCCTTTAAAGTTGTTCTGGGTGCGTCCCACTGGTATCAGGACTCGCTGGAGGAGTTATGTATCCTGTCTGGCCTGGGAATGCCTCGAGGTACCCCAGGATAAGCTGGAAAGTGTCACTGTGGACTGGGAGGTCTGGGTTTCTCACCTGGACCTATTGTCTCGATGACTCAACTATGGATAATTTATTTATTTATTTACCATTATTTAACCAGGCAAGTCCCGTTGAAATCTCAGATCTCTTTTTCAAGGGAGGTATGTGCCTGAAGGCAAGCAAAACCGGAGTACCCAGAGAAAACCCACAAGGCACGAGGAGAACATGCAAACTCCACACAGAAAGACCCCAGGTCTGAACCAGGGATCGAACCCAGGACCTTCTTGCTGTGAGGCGTCGGTGCTAACCACTGAGACGTCGTGCTGTCGTGGATAAACAGCAAAAGATGGAGATGGAGACAAACTCACACTGACAATTAAACGGTTGTCTATTACTCATGACAATGTGCAATAAAAAAGTCTTGAAGTTCACTCTCATGAATCATCTAATGCACATGTGACACGTGTCAGATGACCCACACATGTGACACATAGTGTCTCGTGTGGCCTGTCGAAAAAATTAAAATTAAAAAAATTAAGTAATATATATATATACAGTATATACAGTA